GCTTTAGAATATCGAAACAGTATCGGGAAATGAAATATCGTGATATTTCAGTGTATCGATATTTTCTTACACCCCTAATGTTCATCCAATAATTAGATATTTTGGTACCACTTTACAATAAGAATAGAATAGATAGGTTATTAATTAATCTGTAAACACTTATAAATCATTAATAAGTGTTTATTGTGCAATAACTAAGGATGAGAAAGAGACAAAACTGTCTGGTTTCTTACCAAATAATGAGCCAAACTTGTTCATGTACATATTACATCTAAAAGATGCTACATTAGTCATTTCAGACTAGATTACTACCTTGTAAGCACAATAATGARTTTGAGASACYTATTTTACATATATTATTGTACTGCATTACTACAGTAAACATATGCACAACTATCAAAGGGAGTCTTATTGTAAAGTGTACAACAGTACACATAAGGCAGCCTTATAAATAGAGTACTGTCTTACACTTTACAATAAGGCTCCCTTTGATAGTTGTGGATACGTTTAATGCAGTAATACAGTACCCAGGGCTCTCATGAAAAGAGCTCTGTGATCTCAGTGGGGTTTGCCTGGARAAATAACAGTAAATAAATAAAATATGTGTTTCCAATACATTATTGTGCGTACAAGGTAGAAACCTGGTCTGAAATGTTTAATATAGCACCTTTAGATYTAARATGTARATGAYCAGATTTWGGCTCACTAAGAAACCGGACAGTTTTGTCTCTTTCTCTTACTTAATGCACAATAAACACTTYTTAATGMTTTATAAAGTGTTTACAGATGAACTTATCTATAAACTATTTGTAAGCCATCTATAATGAGATCCTTATTGTAAAGTGGTACTGATATTTTATAATGAGTTATAACAGATTTCATACTGTTAGCCCTCAGACTATGTTAGGGATCAGTCTCAGCTACTACCACACCAAATCGTAGCTGTTTTTTTGTAAAAGCGGGACATGAAGGTTTGGTCTACATCCTGTCAGATGAGATTTGAGACCTGTAAGCTGAAGTTTAGATTTCTCGTGCCTTTATTTGTGTAGCCACAGTCTCGTGTGCGTTCAGTGTGCTGACACCTGTGTTTGGATGCTTTTTACTTACAGTTCTGGTGAGCAAACAGCCGCCTGTCATTTTCTGGAAACATATAAAAACATAAAACTCAGGGTGGTTGCGCTTTTACACTGGACACATTCAGCCTGCCGGTACCCGTTGACTACACTTTGAAAGGTTTGCTACTAGGGAAAATAAATGGCTGCAGTTTTTGTAAAAAAAAAAATAAAATAAAAATAACTTTCAAACGGGATGAATAGCACACACTTACTATTATGGAAACTGTCCTGTTGAAGCCTATTGYTGTTGAAATGCACATTTCATGGGCAAAATACATTTATTCAATGGTTAAGTGCAAATTCTYGGCCTGCTTTTCTTCATGAGCTATTTTTCTTCCAAGC